TCCTGTCCTAGTAGTGAAGATAGAATAAGATCCCACTAAAATTAGAGAGTTTATTGTTACATCATGGAGTCATCCCATACATATGAAATCATTCTTCAAATCTGCCATAATCATTCTCATCATTCCCCTTGTCTGTCACTTAAAAGTTACACTATCTCAGCCTGTTATTCAAACCTCTTGGCCTCCAGTCTCCTCTTTCAACCTAATCTACTGCCCTCACCTTCTGCATTCATTCATGAAGGCAAATCTCAGTGCAGAAGCCTCCTGGAAACTCACTTAAGTTGCTTAGGTGTCCTGCCTGTGGATTCCCACAGTCCTCATTTTAGCACTTGTCACAGTGTAATGTCGTCTGCTTACTAATCAGACCCCTCCAACACACAGCAAGTTCATAAGCCAGAAATGGGGTCTTATGTGCTATGGAATCCTCAGTGCTAAGCACAGTGGCAGACACATAGCATGTACAAATATATGGTACGGGGCAAAAGTAGGTTTACAGTTCATATAAAAATCTATCTATACTAATAAAAAGATAATATGCACCCTAACCAGTTTGGCTCAGAGGATAGATTGTTGGCCTGTGGATTGAAGGGTCCCAGGTTCCATTCCGGTCAAGGGCATGTACCTTGGTTGCGGGCACATCCCCAGTAGGGGGTGTGCAAGAGGCAGCTGATGGATGTTTCTCTTTCATCTATGTTTCTAATTCTCTATCCCTCTCCCTTCCTCTCTGTAAAAATCAATAAAATACATATTTTTAAAAAGATAATATGCTAATCAGACATCTTCTGGATGTCCTTCCAGACAAAGCCAAGTGGCAGGGGCCAAGCAGAGGTGCTCACAGGCAATTAGGCTGAGAGCAGTTGGGGGGTGATCAGGCCAGTAGGAGGGAGCAGTTAGGGGCGGCATGCAGGCAGTGGTTAGGGGTGATGAGGCAGGCAGGCAGGTGAGCAGTTAGGAGCCAGCGGCCTCAGATTGTGATAGGGATATCTGACTTCCAGCAGTCAGACATCCCCAAAGGGGTCCCGGATTGGAGAGGTTGCAGGCCGCGCTGAGGGACACCCCACCCCCATGCACTGTTTGTGCACCGAACCTCTAGTCCTATCTAATAAAATAGTAATATGCAAATTGACCATCACTCCAAGACACAAGATGTCCGACCCCATGTGGTCAAAGATGGCTGACCTCATGTGGATACAAGATGGCCACCACAGGATGGTCTGCAGGGAAGGGCAGTTGTGGACAGTTAGGGGTGACCAAGCCAGCAGAAGAGGGAAGTTGGGGGTGACCAGGCTGGCAGAGGAGGGTAGTTGGGGCAGATCAGGTCAGGAAGGGAGGGCAGTTCTGAGAATCAGAACAGCAGGGGAGGGCAGTTGTGGGCAATCAGGCTAGCAGGAAGGGGAACCCAGGTCTGCAGGGGAGGACAATAGGGGGGACCAGGCCTTCAGGGGAGGGCAGTTGGGGGTGATCAGGCCAGCAGAGGAGGGCAGCTGGGGGAGACCAGGCCAACAGGAGAGGGCAGTTCTGAGAATCAGAACAGCAGGGGTGGGCAGTTGTGGGCAATCAGGCTAGCAGGGAGGGCAGTTGGGAGAGACCAGGCCAGCACGGGAAGGTAGTTGAGGGGGACCAGGCCTGTAGGGGAGGGCAGTTCTGGGCAATCAGGCCAGCAGGTAGGGCAGTTAGGGATGACTGGGCCAGCAGAAGATGGCAATTTGGGGAGACCAGGCCAGCAGGGGAGGACATCCCTCGAGGGGTCCCAGATTGTAGAGGGTACAGGCTGGGCTGAGGGACACTGCCCCCATCCCGTACAAGAATTTCATGCACAGGGCCCCTAGTCTATATATAAAAGGCTAATATGCAAAGTGTCACCACAGGAGTTTGACCCAGAGATCAGGAGTTCTATCACTCTCTATGATGTGCACTGACCACCAGAGGGTGGTGTGGAACAAAGGGAGGCCCCAACCAGCAGCCAGAAGGCCCTGATCACTGGCCAGGCCTAGAGGCTCTATTTGTGCATGAATTTCATGCACTTGGCCTCTAGTAATACAATAATTATCGATACTATTAATACAAGAATAAACTCTGCTCAGAACTGTAAACATACTTTTTCCCCAGTGTGTGTGTGTGTGTTTGGTTTAAATGAATTAATATCTACCTCTCTTTTTTTTTCTACATTTTCCCTTTTATAGGTATGCCACCTCACATACATCCTTCTCCAGAACAGGGTAGTATATATCATTACCCAAAGTGGAGAATAATGAAAAACAATTCAAGACTACATGTCACAGGGTTCTAAAGAAGCCAGGGAGGAAAGAAAAAGAAATATCTGAGCTTGTACAAAATCATCTCTTTTAAAATCTAATGTAAGAAAGTAGTATATGATATTTAAAAGTGATTTTCTAAATCTTTGTAGACATAGTGGATTGCTTCAGACCTAAACATTCTAAAATAAATCATATGAGGGCTTATTTTGTCATTTTTCAAATAAAATTATGGTATCTGTATTATATATATTATATTTAATGTGATTTAAGCTATATTTAACATAAAAATATTTTACCATGGCGTGGCCATGTCTTTCTATAATGCAATGAGATTTTGTTCTTAGCTTTGTTTTTCCCCCAGAAGATAAAAATGAACCACTAGATGGTGCAATTATCATGAAAAAGTAACCACATTAGAATTTTATTTTATATCAAAATTCTTTAATAAGAATTAAAACTATAGTTTTATTTATTTTATGAAATTGGTAAGACAGTCCATTTTGTATAAAAGGTCTTTACATATTTTATGCCTTCTGATTATCAAACAATAATCAAAATTATTACCTAATTTTGTAGCAGGTAATATAACTTTATATTTTGTTTTTCTCCGCTTTGGAAAACCTTATACAACTTTTCAAACTTGTATTTTGTACAACTATCACATACACATACACAAAATGGTAACCAACAGATGTCTCTGAGGATACTGCCATTTCATTAAATACAATGTGTGTATGGCTCACATTGAAGGAAGATTTCTATGCTCATTGTATCGATGTGCCTGTGCCTCTATTTGTAAGTTCCTGGTAGATGAGAATCTTTGCTTGAAAACCCTCCGAGAGCCACAGTCCAACAGTGCGTTGGTGAACATGTGGTGTGATATTATGTTCTCATCCTGAGTTCTTCCCCGTGCTGGCTTCTGGATTCTGGCCACATTCTGTGTGCGACTCCCTGGACTCCTCAGCATATGTTGCCCAGTGGGGCTTTCCCCAGCACACCTCCTCTCAGCCAGCCAGACTCACACCTTACACAGCTGCACACGCTGCATAACCTAAGGTGGTGCTATGCACATCGTGAACACTAAAATAATAATAATGAGGAGGAAGGGGAGGATGAGCATGTGGAGTGGGGAGGAGGAGGAGGAGGAAGAGGAAGAGGGAGAGAAATTTTGGTGAAGCCTAAGTTTGATTAAACTGCCCAATACTAAAAGAAAACACAAGAATTTGAAATCAGTATGTTCTTGATAAATATGTGTAGGCAGACACTAAATCATTTTTATTTTAATAAATAATTGTTGGGTCTCTAAAGAACAAGAAGCGTATAAAAATGTTCCATGTTTCCAAGTATATTTGCACCTATTATTTCAGGAGCATTCTCAGTCACTGAGGTGGGAACGTCAGTTGGCATAGTTATTATGGAGGGCAGGTTGGAACATGTATCCAAGCCCAGAAATCATGGCATTTGAATTTATCCAAGGATTGCACAAAGATTTAGCTACAAGACTTTTATCGCACTATTGTTTGTAGAATGTGAAAGTTTCCAAACATATCTCAAAAGTGACAACAAAAATGAAGTGTATTTCATCCATTCAGTGAAATCATATTCAACTATTACATACAAAATGGTGGGAGGAAAGTTAATGAACAGGGGAAGTCAGTTGAATTTTCTACTTTGACTCCATTAGTAGGCCCTTTAATTCACAAATACACTCTCATTTCACTGATTCAGAGGGTCCACTTCAAAATGCTAACAGCACTCTGGTCTTCAAGACTAAATCCAGCCCCGCCAGTGGCATGAGTGGAAGGTCTCTGACGGAGGTGTGAGCCATCTGCTACTGCCCTCTCCTCAGTCTGTGCCTCGCGCCACATCCTGGAATGGGCTTCCTGGACTCTCACTGCTGCCTGAGAGTTTGGTGCTCTCTGGGCCTGGAGAGTTAAACCAAACCCTTTCTCTATGTGCCCTTAGCATAAGGTGACCAGATTTAGGGAGGGTAAGAGGAGAAATACAGAAAATTCAGATAATTTTGAGTTCCAGATAAACAATAATTTTTAGTGTAAATATATCTCAAATATTATATGGGACTTACTTATAATAAAACTTATTCATTGTTTACATGACATTTAAATTTCACTAGATGCCCTGCATTTTATCTGGCAAGTCTACCTTTAGTGGGTCCATCTGAAACTGGGCTTTTCCAGGATCACTCTCTCAACCCAGACAAGGTCTCTCTTCACACTGGGTGCTCCCTAGTACCCCTCAGATCCTGCCCCAGTCATTAAGCCTCTGCCTCTTACTGCCAAGTTCTCTTCAGCAACCAAGACACCCTCCGGGCAAGATCCCTTTCCTGTGTCCCCAAGCTGAACCTCTCTCAGAGGGCCACAACCCATCCCTGGGACTTGCTACCATTTGCCTCATCTCTGGAGGGGTCTGCAGTTTCTTCTGCAGCCCCAGGGCCTGGGCCTGGGTGTCAACACTGGCACCGAACATCTCTCTGGGAGTTTCTTTTCTCAAGGCTTAAGGTTAGGAGGCAGCAACTCCATTCACAGTCTTCCTCCTCGGGGCAAAGAGAGGGACTTACACTGCTGTTTTGTCCAAAGAAATGACTCCTGTAAAATTCTTTTCATTTCCGTGTCCTGAGCCTTTTAAATTCCTTGATGTGGAGTACAGCAGTCCCATAACCAGTTATTAGCTCTTTTCTTTGTCAGGTGCTCAAATCATGCTGTCTTCTTTCTCAACCCACAGCTGCGACTGTCCCACTGGGTGGAAAGGAGCCTTCTGCACGGAGACAGTTTCCCCCTGTGACCCTGAACACGACCCTCCACACCAGGGTAGCAAAGGATCAACGTGTGTCTCATTGTCTCAGGGATACACCTGCTCCTGTCCCCTGGGAACCACTGGAGTCTGCTGTGAACAAGGTGAGGCAGAATTTCAGCTCATGCTGCCCACAGATTTAAGTCCATTTCCTTTGGGAAAAGTAAAATGAAACATATATGATGATAAAAGATTCTACTCTCTCTTCTCCCCAGGATATGTGGCATTGTAGTTCATAGATAAGAGAGTCCTCACAGTTCAAAAATAGGGCTTTGTTTTCAGAATTGTTTTAGTTTATTAACTCTAAACCCGCTGTCCATTTCGTCTAAACATTCTAGATGTTTTGTGCTAAGTGCAGTCCAATCAAGTGAACTTGGGTTCATAACTCAACTTCAGAGCAAGGCTCCATCTTTGATCTTCTCCCTTCTGCACCTTCCACTTGAAGCGAAACTCTCAGGAGTAGCAAGAGGAAGATACACCAGCTCTGGTTCAAAGGAAAAGATGTTTGAGGGATGAGATGGCCCAAGTCCAGTGGGAATGATAAGGAGCTTTTAATGTTTTAGATCTCATCAGCTTTACTGTTCTTCCTTATGCCTATGATTGATAACATCCTTAACACTGGGGCGAGTTATTACGGCAGTGCCTCTGAGTGCTCCCCACAGTCTCCTGAGTGCTCCCCACATGGGCTTGGCTAGTGCTAAGCGTCCTTCTAGATCTGAGCTAGCTCCCCTTTATTTCGTAGCTTGCATAAGACCTTAAGTTTTTCCTCCACATCACAAGCATGCTATGGGGTAGGAGGAGGTGAATGGAGCAGGGCAGGCTTGTTCCCTCCTTAATAGAGATGGGCCACAGTCATCCCTCCACTGTCCCCCTTGCAGCCCAATAGCTCACACTCCTCTTCCTAGACTACCCACCACTCAGCCAACACTGGCAGAGCAAGGAACATGGCTATCTATTGCCTGTCAACCCCAAACTACACGCAAGAATTCCAATTGCATTGCATTTCCTCCTGTAATTCCCTGACCCCTACCCCAGCATCCACACCCAGCTAATACTTATCCTTCAGGTTTTCACTCAGACCTTAATTCTTTAGGCAAGCCTTCTCCTTCACAGAACTGAGAGCAATAAATATGCCTATTTTCATTTATTGTTGTTGAATTTCTATTACCCATCCTATAGTATAGAATACAAACTTTGTTATATATTTCAGCTTAATACTTCTAAAATAATAAAAATGGATTGGGACGATTTTTAAGAAGTAGTTTTTTTTATTTTAGTGAATAATAAAGAACTCCACTTTACCTCTATAACTTCCATAGGAATGACTACTAGAACCAGAAAGGAATAATAGGACAAGTTAACATAAGGACTAGTGATAGTAACAACAGGGCAAGCCAGATTTTTGAAGTTTAAAGGCACAGTAGATCATCAGCAAAAACACTCTATTTTCTAGATGATAGCAGTCCTTTATAATAACCATTCCTTCAGCAAATATAACATAGGAACCAACAATGTAGAGGTAACATTATATCAACAACAATCACACTCCAGTGGTCTAAGAAAGCACAATCGTTAAAAGCCAAATATCTCCAAAACCAAAATTTGTCTTTAAATAAGTAATCAAACATTAGGGTTGAAAAGAGCCTTAAAAATCACTTAATCCTAATTCTTTTACCTTGAAAGAGGTTAAGATCAAAACTGTGACTGAGCAGGACTGAGTGAGGATTTAAGTCTTCACACCACCAATCCAGTGAGTTTCACATTACCCCATGAAACTGCTAGCTTTTACATTTTGTGTGACAGCCAGCTTTCATATTTTTACTAGGGGCTCAGTGCGCTAATTCATACACCTTGAAAGGAACTGTGGGCTGCGAGGCTGCAGTGGGCACAGGGGCAGATTTCAGCCCATCCTCCACACCCCCGCCCAGCCCATCCCACCATACTCTCCACCCCTGGTCGCCTGCCTGCTGGCAGCCCCGCCCCTGCTGCTCCCATGCACTGATGGCACCGGCCCCACTCACACCCACTGACAGGGCAGAGCTATTGGGTGCGAGCAGCAGCTACTGTCCCAATCATGCCTCAGGAGCAGAGGGAGGTGGAGAAACCCTCAGGGGTGATCAGTAATGACAGCCGCCATTTGCACTTACTGACGGCTTCATATCTGTTCTGGTGCCAGCAGCAGGTGCAAGCAGGGCTAGTGCAGGGTGGGACCGTGGCACACAGGAGCAAAGAATTTTCAGTAACCACCAGAGGCTCACCCCAATGATAGCGGCTGGTGCCCCACCTTGATCCAGCACCCCCGCTCACCTGCTCCACCATCCCATGTGGCTGACGCTCGCCATGTCCCATGCACACACCCCTGGTGGTCAGCACACATCATAGCGACTGGTTGTTCGGTTGTTCTGCCATTGGGTCTATTTGCATATTAGCCTTTTATTGTATAGGATTTCATAATCTAAATATAAAAGCTAGCCATCACACAAAATAAGTAGAAACTTGTGCAGTCTGTGGTATGCAGAATGGATTAATAAAATGTCCTTGTCCTCATATTTTAAATTGTCTAAAACAGTGGTCAACAAACTCATTAGTCAGCAGAGCCAAATATCGACACTACAACGATTGAAATTTCTTTTGAGAGCCAAATTTTTTAAACTTAAAGTTCTCCTAATGCCACTTCTTCAAAATAGACTCGTCCAGGCCATGGTATTTTGTGGAAGAGCCACACTCAAGGGGCTGAAGAACTACATGTGGCTTGCAAGCCACAGTTTGCCAACCATGGGTCTAAAGTATTTTAAAGTATGATCTGAGAAGAGAGTGGCTGGTGGAAGTTTTTCATACTAGCATTCTAATTTAAGTAGTGAAATCTTATTTCGTCTACCCCTTACTCTAAGAATGACTTGCCATTGGGGGAAAAAAGTGATCCTTCAAGTTCCTTAAAACATTCACCTACAGCACATTTTATTTCACTGTGACCTCACCCCAAACTTCTTTGGAATTCCACGAGGTACGGTGCTGTGGTAATAAAATATTAAAAGACCACTTGAACCCAATGGCATAAAGGGTCATCGCCACCAAAAGCAATTCAAAATATCTGAGCCTAGTTCCAGATGTACATGAATCCACAACAGTCACATTGTCCGGCCCAGGCACTAGCTCAGACAAGTGCTTTTAAACACCCAGGAGCCCGAAACCAGCTTTAAAAATGAAACTGAAGGTGAAGAAGGCATGTCAGCAAACAACAGCATCTGAGTTGAATATTTTGCAAAGACTATTGATCTTAAATTAAAAATAAATCATAATAGGCTAAATGAGGGTAGAATATTTTGCAATCTAGCTTAGTCATTAAAACATTCAATTTAGACAAAATTCTGGTTTACGATTATTTTCCAAGATAGAAAATATGTTCCTTTTTTTTTTTTCTCATATACCCAAATCTTGCTCATTTGCTCTTTTCTTCTGTGTTACTGCTCTTTCCTGCTAGAATGTACAAGTTACAACTACATATATAACATTTCCTGGGTCATACAATCTCTCCTCTCCATTTATTTTCCCCCACATTATTGGTGAATTGCATTTTTTCCTTTGAGCAGTTTTATACTACTAAATTCTAGCTCTTGCGTATCGTTGACATTTAGCCAAATTAGATTCCATAGTATGTGTAGTTTTAACTTTTAGCCTACCCAGTATTGAAAAATGTTTCCATTTTTCTTACATTCTTTCCATCTGTGGTGCAATTTTCCTCCCATTCATTTCTCATTCCCTAAGGTAAAGAAACCCGTGCACACACTGGCACTTTGAATGAAACAGGCACATGTTTAAGCTACTTAGTCCCTTGATGTCAAAGGTACTTTATGGTTCAATAAGCCCTAGCGTTCATTGCAATTAATTCAAGCTCATGGAGAAGTTCAATTCTTCCAGCCTTCCTGACACATGAGGTGCTCTCTTGCCAAACCTTTGGTCTTCCTAATGATAGCAAAATGGGTCCAAAGCACTCTAGATGGCACCTTGAGAAATCATTACTGTTCTCTTTTTGTTATTGTTGTTCATTCTCACCCAAGGATATCTTTGATTTTAGAAAGAGTGGCAGGAAGGGGGAGAGACAGAGAAACATTGAGGTGAGAGAGATACGTTGATTGGTTGCCTCCTAAACTGCCCAAACCAGGGCCAGGGATTGAGCCTGCAGCCAAGGTATGTGCCCTTTAGCAGCACCAAACCTGAGACATTTCAGTCCACAGGCTGACACTCTAACCACCGAGCAAAACTGGCTACAACTTTTCATATTTTTTAAATTGTTTTCAGAAAGAGAAAGAGGGAGAGAGAGAAAAAAACAAAAAACCATCAATGGTGAGAGAGAATCATTGATTGGCTACCTCCTGCATGGCCCCCACCAGGGATCAAACCCTAAACCGGACATGCCCCGGAAATCAAACCATGACCTCCAGGTTCACAGATCAAGCTCAGCCACTGAGCTCCACTGACCAGGCTATGTGACTGTTTTCAGGTGCATTTAACCATTTGGTAATGCTCCTGCTTTCTTTATAGGAAAATAAAAACAGCATTAGTCTTTGTTTCCCCACTTTCAATCCCATTGTGATGATTACCAGGAATCCTATATAATAAAATCTTAATATACAAATCGACCAAATGGCAGAACTACTGGTCGCTATGGTGTGCACTGACCACCAGGGGGCAGACGCTCAGTGCAGGAGCTGCCCCCTGGTGGTCAGTGTGCTTCCACAGGGGGAGCGCTGCTCAGGCAGAAGCTGGACTCGTGGCTGGCGAGCACAGCAGTGGTGGCAGGAGCCTCTCCAACCTCCACAGCAGCACTAAGGACCCCAGCGGGGATGTCCATCTGCCAGCTTAGGGAGCAGACCTAAGCCAGCAGGCAGACATCCCCCAAGGGGACCTGGACTGCAAGAGGATGCAGGCTGGGCTGAGGGACAACCCCCCACTGCAGTGCACAGATGTTGTGCATTGGGCCTCTAGTGTGTTTATATGTGTACTAGATCCTCTATACCTACAGTTTTGTAACCCTTTTAAAAAGTAAAAAATAGCCGAAGCCGGTTTGGCTCAGTGGTAGAGCGTTGGTCTGCGGACTGAAAGG